CTGTTCTTCAAGATATCTTTGAAACCCTATTTCCCTTCAGGAAGAAGACTCTTTTGGAGGCATGGACAATGCTAAAGAAAGTGCATCGTCGAGCGCAACCAAATGATGGATTTGCAAAGGTTCTCACAATCCTCGACAAAAGTCTCCATGGAAAAATCTCGATGGAGTGGCAACAAAGGCGGCCAGTGATGCAGGTCTGCCCCATCTGCGGAAAAAATGCTGGAATAAGTAGTAGCTCGCTTAAGCTTCATCTACAGAAGTCACATAAGAAATTATCTTCGGGCAGCGTTGATAGCGCGATGAAGCTCGAGATTCAGAAGGCAGTGGATGCTCTCAAGATCAGCCGTGGTGGCAGTGTCAGCCCAACACAGAAACAGTCTCAGTCATTTGTGGAAGGTTTTTCTCAGGTTGTGTAGTTTTGTAGTTTCGATACAGGGTATATTTGACAGAACCCTCTGAACTGTTTATTCCACAAACCCCCCCTGAACTTTGTTTATTCCACAAAACCCCTTGAACTTTGGGTGTAACTTTGGGTGTAAATTGTTTATTCCACAAAACCTCATATACATGGATATAAATTGCTGAAACCAAACATGTGGTGATTCTCATGTATCACCCTTGATTGGAAACCTATAAACATTGCCTATATAATGTAGCATGTGCAATTAATTTGATTGTCAATAATGTAGATATGTTTCATTTGCTAAATTCTCTCTCATGCATATTCATTGATGTTTAGGATGTGTGAACATCTTCTTTCCACTATGATTATAGGACCTTTTACCTAAAAAAAAAAAAGGATGACAAGGGTTTGATAAGAGAGACATATCTATTGCTTATGAGTTTTTTGGACTACTTATGCTTTGATGTTATCTTGAGTAAAGTAGGATCTTAAGTTAAGCTTTGGTGTTATGTGTTTTGAGTACCTTTAGATTCTTTTGTTAGTTTCTTTTTTGAGGCGTTAATTTTTTGCTTTGTAATCAAATTTATAGCGATAAGAGAAGTATAGAACCTTTTATATATATATGAAAAGGTTTGGTGGACATTAACTTAAGTTGATAGGAGTTTTACTCATATATATATAAGTGAAGTTTGCAATTGTTCTCTCATTTTAAAGAGCAAATGTCATGCTCATTTGATCTTAATTCAAGAGTTTACTATGACTGGTATTTGTTCCGACTTTATATACTCTTTCTAATCTATGTAATATTTGACATACTACGATTTTTTTCAAGACTTAATAGGTATCTATTGCTATTATTTAACAAAAACCTTTTTTTCGTGCTCTACCCCTGTATTAGTCACCATTCCCAACATATCGGAAAATTATACACACAATTTCTAGTAATTTACAACTTAATAAAGGACAAATTTGAAAAAAAAAATGAACATTAATAATGTTATGTGTTTGAGTTGCATGCTAATAGTAGCATGCCTGGGACCCACAGAGTGTAACAAATGGTTTGGTTCAATTCATTGTTAAAATTGACTAGTCAATGTTGCACTACTTAAACGTTTTAAAATATTCAATTAGTATCCGATGTGAGACTAAATCTTGCATCTTTATTATGCGACGAACTCAACCCAGCATGACAATGGACCGTCCCAGTATCACCGCTAAGCGATCCGTCCTAATATTACAACGTGTGGCATGTGTTCAATGGACCTGGTCCTGGATACCTACTCAACATTACAAAGATTTTGTGACTGCCTAAAAAAAAGTTAAAAAGAGGGGTTCCATGATAGCTTCAAAAGTCAGGTGGTCAGCTGAAAATGGGCCAAAAGTTACGGGGGTGCTTTGTGAAATCCACCCCTTTTCTAAGCACATCTCCCCATCATTCATTAACTAACTATCAGCAAATGAATAAAATGCACGTTATCTCCTGCTTGCCCACAAATTGATGAAGCGATAACTGATAAGCGCCAATAAATTAAGAAAAATTCCTCAATGACCCAAAATATAGGATTAATATGAAACACAGGGGACGTGTCCCCCTCTTATTGCATAATGAGCTGATCATTATTAACAGGAGGATCTAAGATTCACTATTCATGATACAGTAGATGCTACACTAAATTACTGTAGCATTATTTCTGTAGAGCAGACATAGACAGGAGGATCCAAGATTGTCTATTCATGCTACAATAAAATACGACAACATTATTACTGAAGCACAAGCATGAATTGTAACGTTTTAAAATATTACTCTAGCAGTATTACTGTAGCTCAGACGGGATAGTGTAGCAGTAAAAAAATATTACTGCAACACTTACGAAAATATAGAATTACTGTAGCAGATATAAAAAAAATAAAAGTAGTGCTTTTGCACGGTGTGCACACTAGTAAATTAAGAAAAAAAATTTAAGGACCCAAAATATGGGAGTAATAAGGGGGACAAGTGAGGTGTCCCCCTCCTATTAGATAATGAGTTGGTCATCATTAATGATGATCAACTCATTATCCAATAGGAGGAGGATACCTCACTTATCCTCTTATTGGTCCTATATTTTAGGTCCCTGTAGCCAACTATATTTTAGGTCCCTGTAGCAAAGCTTGTAAATTAAACTAAAGAATCTCTTCAATAATACACAATATTAATGAGCAATAAACGTCATCAATTTCCACCACAAGCACGTAACCAAACACTCCCTATAATACCTCCCCACCGCTCCCTCCCCCTCTCTAAACCGAAACTCCCCCCACGAACTCTCTCCATCGATCCCCCAAAGAAAGAAAAACTCAGCACTAATGGCATCCTCAGTCCTCCTCCCATCTCTCCGTCTCTGTCGCCGTCGCCAGTCTCCGTCGTCTCTCAGCGCCGCCGCCCGCAGCATTCCAGCCAGAAGCCTGCAGACGCGTGCGGGTCGCACTGGAGACCCTAACCTCTGCGGTCTCTATGGCTTCTCGACCTTCCCTTGAATCCGCCACCGCCGTTACTTGAGTCAGCTCGCCGGGCTTTCCGGCCTGTACGCCACGGACAAAGGGCAAGGCGACGGCGGCCTTTACGTCGCCGCGGCCGCCGAGATGGAGCGTGAGGACCCGAAACCTGCAGGCAGTGCCTGAGCGACTGCGCGGAGCACGCCGTGTGGACGCTATGCAGCCAGCTGCAGCACGTCGACGGACATGGCTGCCGGCGCGGGGCCGGCGGGCGGGGCGGGGAGGGGGGGGCGAGGCGTGCGGGGGGGGGGTGCGGGGGGCGGGCGGGCTGGGGCGGGGAGCCAGCGGGACGCGAGAGCGATACTGACGCGAGCGAATGGCGGACATCGCGGCGTGCAACGAAGGGGCTGCTGACGAGGCGGGGGTGAGCGAGGACCGGTGGCGATGGAGGTGAAGGAGAAGATGGACGGGTGGTTTGGCCTCATCAGCATTGCTCTCAGTCTCAGCAAGCAGCTTTAAGTGATGCGCGCGCGCGCGCGCGTGTTTTTTTATTATATTTTAAAATAATGTTTGATGATCTTTGCTTCGTGTTGATTTCGTTGCCTAATATTATCTGATACCAAGTTTTAAAAGGGGAAGAGGCTCAAATATAAAATCTACAGAAAACAAGAAGCTTGCATGCACCTTATTGCAGAACACAAATTTTTTTTACGATCTTAAGAGTCAAAAAAAAAATCACTTAGGCGATCTATTCGCAACGAGTAGAACTACAATGGATATATTCACAACAAATAAAGCTACAAGGAATCACTTTGCAATTGCATGATACTATAGGGTTTGTTCGGAATTAAACCCTTATTTTGGAAAAGCATTTAGGCGTCTGCCCAACGAGTAGGGATCCTATTAGAACCACCTCTATAGGATTGAGATGATTTATACCATTAATAAGATAGCCACAATACCCAAACTAATCCTCTAACTACCCATAAATGGTATATATCCCTCAGTCTATAGGTTGTTATGATAGAATCCCGCCTAAACAACAAAGCCCATTGGGCAAGTCCTAGGACCACCTAAGCATAATTGAAGCCGCTCAAGCGGAACAGCATGCGTCACAAAGGAGTTTGTTGATGGATAAGGAAGTAGACCGGGGTCAAAATTGATGGGTTCAGAACTCCGTAATCCAATCTCCCAAAAAATATATACATATAAATAAATAAACTCCTCTTATGATGAAATTGTGCGAATAAGATTTTAAATCTTGGGGTTGAAAAAATCGATCTTCTCTCGATGACTTTCCTCGGTCTCTCTTCGGACTGAAGCAGAAATAAGCACCTTACATAATTATAAGAGTAGCACTACAGGCACACTCTTAGCCACACTCTCAGCCACACCCCCTCACCTGCTACAGTGCAGGGGGCCCCACCTAAGATTTTTTAAAAAATCTCAGGTGGGCCCCCCTGCACTGTAGCAGGTGAGGGGGTGTGGCTGAGAGTGTGGCTAAGAGTGTGCCTGTAGTGTTATTTTAAAAGAAATACCTATACACGCTGTCGTGCACAATAAGAATGAATACATATCAAGGATAAACCATATTCACCATATCTCAATGTTAAAAATAAAAAAATAAAAATAAAAATGAGCTCCCTCCATGTTCACCATATCTCAAGATCATAGGACACGAAAGACATGAGCTGAAATAGATTTCTTCACACACGGCTCAAAAACACACGTCGAAATACATGCCGAAGATCTATATATGCGGAAACATATATGAAAAAGCGCGCAATTTAGTAATCTCGTCAATGGATCTAATAATATATTTTGCTCTATGATCAAGAATTAGAGCCATTTGATGCATGGACAGAGAGTACACAGTACACACGGAGCATTTTCACCCTTGAAAACTTCAGACGCATAAACAACAATGACGACATGGAAATTTCCAACAGAAAATGGTTCAAGTGATTGTCCCGTCAACTAAGCGTTTCAAATTCCTTTCCAACATCATAACCACTAATCCAATCAAAGACCTAACTAGTATTCTCATGAAACACTCGTATGAATATCTTCACCCTTGAAAACTTCTAAGGGCGTAAATAACAATGATGCGATGGAAATTATACAGTAAAAGAGCAAAATGCATGGATAAAAAAGATAACACAGAACATGAACATCTTCGCCTTTGAAAACTTCTGAGGCGTTAATAACAATGATGCGATGGAAATTTCCTATAAAAACTGGTTGAGAAGTGATTGTCCTGTCAACAAAAGTGTTTCAAATTCCTTTCCAACGTCATAACCAGTAATCCAATCAAACACCTAAATAATATTCCCATAAAACACTCAAGCAACAGAGGAAGAAAAAAAACACCAAATAGTAAACAAAATAAAGCAAAAGAGAAAGTTAAGAGGGAATTATACAGTACAAAAGTAAAGTATTGACTAATGGCAGAGCTCACTTAAATCTTCCGAGGGAAGAACTTGAGAAACACACTTCGGATTCTTGTTCAATTTGGAGCCGCCATCTTTGCTAATCAATCATAACTAGCATTCAGAAACTTCAGCAATTCATTGCGGTTGTTTTCAGCCAACTTGTCTTGCTTTGATTTATCAACTTTCAATTGGATCTAGATAATGACAAAAAGTCCAGGAGAATCAATGTGGATGATCTTTAATGAATTCTAGCAATAAAACAGCAGAAAAACTTACCTTTTTACCAGAAACAGCACTGAAGCGAACGTTATCCTCTTTGTCCCGCCCGAGGAACTGATGGCAAATTAAACAAACAAGAACGTTAGGATATTGAACTTCTGGAGCAGACGAGAAATGAAGAATAGACTGCTGAATTTGGATACCTTAGAGAGCTGTACAGGACTACTGCCCCTCTCAGCCTTCAGCTTCTATATATCGACTCCCATAGCCAAAAAAATCACCAGACCAGTTACCCGGTTACAAACCACAGCTCCAATGTCAAAGAGCCAACCCAGAAACAGGAAGCAAATATATAAGGACCATAATCATTGATATCCAATGTTCAATGTTTATCATAAATATGTAAGCTCCTAACTGTAAGCATTAAATGATAGTCTACAAAATATGCAGATTGAGAATTTCAGCCATCATTTTGTGCCTCATAAACCAGATTTTTCTGTCTTGACTCTCTTATAAATGAGCAGGGTTAAGAAAGAGTTAAAGGTCATTATACAACAATTGTTTTGAAAAAGGTGTATTTTAAGTAGCACAATAGCTGGTGGCAATCCATTTCTCTATATTAGTTTGTTTCACATGAATTAGAGAGAAGATTGGATGGACGTAGGTTTGGGAAAGATAGGAGAATGGAAGGTGTAGCAGCATATTAATGAGGCGTTTGCCGAATTTTAATATGATTAGCATAGAGATAATTATGCATGACATAAAAAAACTAAAAAGATAGATTTAATGATAGAGTACTGATAACTAAACTACTCACCAAGACTACTTCCAAACAACCAGAAAAGTGTAAGGTCCACCCTCTTTCTTCATATTTTATCAACTACTATCGAAATTAATGACTTGTCAAAAACTCCCACACTTCTCTCTCTAGTAGTCTGAGAGTAGATTGGGGCATATAAACGAGTTAGCATTATTGTTAATCATAAGAAAGATGGATATATTTCTAAAAAGTAAAGACAAAACCATCAACCACTTATCGCATTCTTGCAACCAATGGTAATTGTTTTAGAATATAGTAAATAGATAGATGCCATTTAGTACTCTCTTTAATTAATTTTCCAAGTTTGGAATCTATTTGTTACTATATACTAAAACAACTGTTTACAAGAATGCTGCAAATGGTAGTTATTTGTCTTTATTCCTAACTACTGAATCCATTTTTTTCAACTTTTCTATGTCATGCATCATTATCTCTATGTCAATCTCATTAAACTCGAAACAGCTATTTCATTAAAAATGTATTTGGTTAGAAGTAGTTGAAACAACACATACTTTTGCAAAATCATGTCATCCTGCTATGGGAACACTCTTGAATTGAAAGGTAGCAACAAATCCTATTTTGGCTTATTTGTTTTTGCAATATCATTTTGGTGGTGCAACAACATCAAATCAAACAAAAATTTTAAAATGTAAGGGTGTGTGGAGTGGCACATCTCAACATATTCAAACTTTAAATAAAAAAATTGGTTGGTTGAATGTTGTTGTAACACCAAAATAAGCCAAAAATAACAGAGCAGCATCGGCGTTCAAATTGAAGTGTGTTTCACCAAGAGTTGTAGTTACACGGTGTTGCAAATACATTTGCTGTTCCAACTACTCCAAACCAAACACACTTTAAATGTAGTTGTACAACACAGGGCACCGACCACTCCTAACCAAAAACACCCCAATATTCCGTTTCACCATCTCTCTCTCCCAATCCCACAAACAACACAGAAGCTCTCTAATTCCATCGCAATGCTCGAGTAACAAACTACTTAAACCGTAATTTCATACTTGTCTACACCTTGCCTAAGGATCATGGTTGCAGGCTAATCAAGCATATCCTAATACTTCGATTGACATGACGATCACATATACATGGAGGCATCCAAAAAAGGAAAAAAAAAAAATTTGAACCAACAGAATTCACATCCAAATAAACTGTAGACAAGATAGCCTACCTCTTCTCTATGTTTATGCTTGTTACGTTTATGCTTTCGGGATCTCCTGTCCTTGTCCTTGTAACGAAAATGAACCAAAACATGGCGTTCGTTTAATATCAAAACAATTTAAGACAAAAAACAACGAGGATCCGAAAATATACCTTTTTCAGTTTTCCATTATGTTTGTGCCTCTTCAGACGACTAGATTCCTCGCGCTCGCCGCCGGACGAGCTCCCGGAACTGCTACGAAACCAAATCAACGGACCAAATTCAAGGATCAGTCAAGTCGACGCTCGATTAGAGACAAAAGATTTCAACTTTCGAATAAAAAAGGGATCTTTCCCCCTCTTTTACCCTAAGCGATCGAGAGAGGTGAGCGGATCAACTTGCCTGTAACCATCAGAGGAGGATGAGGAGGAGGAGGAGGGTGAATCTTGAGGGGATCGGCGCCTTCTCTTCCGCTTCGATCGAGATCGGTCTTCCTTCCTGCTGCGGATCTTGAGGGATTCCTTGGTTCTGCTGCCGTCCTTGTGACGTCGACGGTGACGGCGATCTCGATGAGGCGAGGAAGATGATGATGATGAGGGCTCGGTCGATGGGGAATCGGAGGAGGAGGAGGGTGAGGGATCGGAGGAGGGAGACGAGGAAGCCGCCATTGCTTCGCGGGGAGATCCGAGGGGGGTGGAGAGGGACTTTTGCGCTGTTGGGAAATTTGTGGGCCGACACCCTTAAAGAAAAGGTTTAGATGGGCTAAAACAGAAAAGGCCCATATATGAAACATTGGGGGCCCGTTTGTTCAGACGAGAAAACACAAAGAAAGTCATGCATGGTGAAAGTAGCAAAGGAGTAACTGAAGTAGAGGAAGTTTCTTCTACTTCAAGCTAAAATTTATGTTTGTTTTTCTAAAAAGACTATTTCGGCTATTTCCATAAATACAGATGTGACGTCTAGGTGACACTCCTTCTTCCTAGATTTTTTTTTCCGCCCTTGAAAGCTCAGAAGTAGAGGTAAAGTAGATAAAAAGCGGGGTCCACTTAAATTAGTGATTTACCAAGGGCAGATGATTTTAAATAATATATCCAATTCCTATCCAAACAACAAGTAAATAAAAGAAGATGATGAAGTACTGTTTCCGCTACTTCTAAAAATATATGAAACAAACAAAATAAGTACTACTTCCGCTACTTTCTACTTCATAATTGAGGAAGTTACGTCTTTGATCCACTTCTTACTTCTAATAGTTACGTCGAGCACATAGTGGCGCCTAGTTCGAGGAGAGTATTTTAACTTAACTCGGTAGAATTGGAGAGTAATTAACATATATCTAGATTTAAGGAGTAAATTTTAACAAATATGGTTGATTTGGGGTATATACATAAAACCCCCCGTTATAAAACATCCGTTTTCGATCCACCACCTGAATCTTTATCTGTGCAAGTTTGTAGACACGCTAGCTTTTAAAGATGTTGTTAAGCATGTCTAGTTTCTCGGGTTGCCCATGTTGTGCGCGGCGGAAGCTTTCTAGGACAACACGAACAATAACTCGAACTAAACCACAAACAATATGCAAATCACAATCACAACAAGAACACACAATTTACGTGGTTCAGCAAGTTGCCTACGTCCACGGGGCAAGGAGGGAGGCTTCTTTTTACTAGAAATCAAGAGAATACAAATAGGGTTACAAATCTCTCAGACCAAACCCTAAAACAAAGCTCTAGATCTCTCAAAGCTCTCTTACAATTGGATGCAATGATTCTCTCTCTTTGGCTGCTCAAATTCGTCCCTGAGGTTACCTAAACAAACAGGTTTAGGTATATATAGAACTTACAAAACGAATCGGGTCGAAAACCTGAAAGCCCAGCCCAAAACAGCGTCGGTCGACCGGACCGGTCGACCGCGATCAATTCCGGTCGACCGGCCCGGTCGACCGACCAGCTCCCAGCAGAAGCCCCAAAATTCCAGAGAGATCGTCGGTCGACCGCACCGGTCGACCGAATCATCTGCGGTCGACCGGACCGGTCGACCGACCTCCTTCCAGACGCACAGGAACCCTTGTGCACGAATCCGGTCGACCGACAGGTCGATCGCCGCCTGGTTGACTGATTCTCTGAGTTTCTGTAATTTCTGTCAATTCTCAACCTCGGCGAATGTTTCCTCACCCAAACTGAGCCGACACCAATATACCAAATATTTCAACCAATTTCAGGAACAATAGCTCGAGCTGAAACGCGCTTCCCCCCATCTGAAAGCAAACTGATCAACCGCTGCATCTGAAAGACTGGCCTTCCGTTATCCTCTTGCCCAAGGAATCAAGCCGAACGTAGTTCACCCAAATGGCGCCAACGCCTCCACTGAAGGATGTTCAATAACTTCAAACGAATGACCAAATTTCACTCCTGGAAACAACTTTGGTCAACATATCTTGCAGGTTGTTCATTTGTGTGGACCTTCTCACTATGACATCTCCATCATCCAAGACGTCGCGTACAACAGTGAATCTGACTCGATGTGGCGTTCGTGCGAGCATGAAACCTGGTTCTTGCTAAATAAGATAGCCCGACATACTATCAAAATACCGAATAGTCCTCCTGACAATCCCCAGTCTCCAATAATCCCGCAACCATAAAGGCCTCCTTAATTGCTTCAGTAACCGCATATACTCTGCCTCTGTAGTAGAAGAGCCACTGTGGACTGCAGCTGCAACGCCAACAAAGGTGCACCTGGCCTAATGTAAAAGCAATCTGACGTAGACCGGCGTTTGTCAAGATCTCTCAGCTATTCTCGAATCCACATATCCAATACAAGCTGCCTCATCTACTCATCCTTCTGGAATACTAAACCAACATCCACGGTGCCTCGAACATACCGTAGAATCCACTTCACGGCCTCCCAGTGACCCTTCCCCGGGTCGTGCATGTATCTCGATACCATGCTCACAGCCTGTGACAAATCTGGCCTCATACACACCATCGCATACATCAAGCTACCTACTACACTGGCATATGGGACCTTCGACATATAATC